ACATTTTCAGTCTCAAAGATTAAAAATAAAACTCTGAAACAATATTTGGAATTAAATCAATCTGTTCTCAACTTATTTATTATTTGTATTACTGTAGTACGTAGGAGCCCTAGTCATGGATCAAGATCTTATTGGGCAAGGTGCTGTACAAACAAAAAACAAAAAGATGGTACCTATCAATTACTAAGCATTGAAATACTTGACATTCTACAAGAAGGAAGAACTTTCTGAATCTCAGATGTAATCTTGATTCTCTCTCCTACCATAATCTAACTGCATAATGAATTCCAAAGCCTCCTGTATGATATGTTCCTCTAGGAGTGGGGGGCCTTATTTGTAGCCTTAGAACCACTGGTAGTAAAACTCTTAGGTTGTGTTCCTACATCAACCTCAATCCAACAATGGCCACACATTGACCAATGGGAAAACAAAATACTGAATAGCAGCTTATTTGATGAGCAACCTCCATCATCTGCACTGAGTGAGGCTCGGTTCTGTGGAAAAAATGGTATATGACCATATAGAGACCGTACCATAGTGCATATGCACAAAGGGGGAGAGTGAATTAACATTATACGGGCAACTCTAATTCTGCATTTCCTAACTTCTGAGCACTTGACTTTGCAACCTTAATGTTCTTTAAATGTAGGTTTTTTTCCTGTGTAATTTCCTATGTTTTTAAAAAGCAAACTGTAAAACCAGAAATTCCATCATGTGGCATCATATTGCCTTCAACAGGTTTGGAACCTTTAGCTCCACTGTACAGATCTCTGCTACTTGAGCAGACTGAGTAAATGATAGCAGTAATTAAGTTATCCTCTAAATGCCCAGCACTAAAGGCGGATAAAACACCCACTTTGCTAATGGGATTTACAAACAGTTGTTGACAGCAAAGGAATGGGTGAGACTCAGGAATCTTGCATTCCATTCCAGGCTCTAGTAGTCACATACTCTTCAGCCAATTTCTCCTAAGCTTGATCTCTTCTACCCCATCCTCTCCAACCTGTCCCAGTCCTGTCTCTTTTCCACATTTAGCTCCTTGTCCCAGTCTAATTCTCTGAGCCAGTCCCAATCCCGTCTCTTCATCTCAGTCGCAGTCTCCTTGCCCAGCCATTCCACATCCCATCTGCCCCCTACTCCTTAACCCCAGACTCCTTTCCCACCCAGTCCCAATTTTCCTGGTCCTCATCCAAACTGTATGTTCAACCTCCACATTCCCCATCCCAACTGGCTCCCAGTCTCAATCTCCCTCTCCAGGCGCCTCATCCAATCTCAGTGTTCCCCCACCTCTAGGCTCGGTGTCCCCGTTTCCTTGTGCAGCACTGTAGCTCAGATCTGCATCCCCTCACCCTACCTCACTGAGTCCTAGTTCCAGTATCCTTGCCAGGCCAGTTTCAGTCTCCTACTCTGATCTTCACCCAATCTCTGTCTCCCCCTCCTTACTTGCTGCCAGTCCCCACTCCCTATTTCCCTCCTTGACTCCCAGTTCCTGTCTCCTTGCCCAGCCAGTCCCATTCCCCCAAATCCATGTCCCTGTGTCCCTTCCCTTGTTTTCCAGCCTCCAGTCCCACCTCCAGGCTCCTTGTCCCAATATACTCCCCCACCCAGGTACAGTTCTTGTCCTCTTGACATTCAAATCAGGCAACTTCCTCATGGGCACTGTCTGGTTCCAGTAGGGAATGAGCCATTTTAAATTAATACACCTAACCTTCCATACTTCGTTATTGATATATACATCAATTTCAAATACAACGTATAAGAGGCAAATAACATGAAATCCATGCACTGAAAGACAACCTGAAACACATATTTTACAAAAAGTCAAACAATTTTATAATGTATAAGCTTTGAGCTTTATAAATGCTTCAAATAATCAAGAATAGAAACACTGAGCAAATTTGTCAATGAAAACGTAACTTTTTCTCCTCTTTCCTCCAAGTACATAGTTTTCATACCCAACAGAGAACACCAGCTGCTAGTTGGTGAGACACTCCAGCATGCATATTTTGCTAGCAATATCATCCCTATCACCCACCCCCCCACTAAAAACTTGAGATGACCTACAGATATAAAAATAAGTACTTTAATGGTTAACTCCCTGATTTAAATCACTTTTTATGGTTTGTCAAGTTTAAAGATATTAGAACTTTAGAGAAATATGTAATATTTAAAAAAGAGGGACTCTTAGTAGTAGAATGAAATAGTAGGAGTGATAACACCAGCAGTGTACATACTTTGGTACCATACCAAGTAGAATCCGGTGGTCTGAAAGTTGTAGACCTGAATTAAATGGGGGGGCGGGTGGAGGGAGTTTTTAAATGACAAGAGACTTTAACCTCTTACTCTATTTGGATCGTTCTGCATATAGTTCTAGCTTGTTTTAAAGGAGAACTCTGTTTAGAAAGCAAACTTGGAAAACCGTCTTTATACATTAAACCAGGGACAGTCAATAGGTGGACCGCGGGCCAAATCTGGACCACCAGACACTTTTGATTTGACCACAAAATCTTTTTATTGACTAATACAAAAACAACAACAACAACATTTTCTCTGGAGTCTGGACCTTGACTATATTTTGACCAAGAAATTTGGACCTTGACAAAAAGTAATTGATTAATCCTGCATTAAACATTTTATTTACACAGTATTTACCTGCATTCCCTTTGTTATTTTTTTAAATAGTTTTAACTAAGGACTCTATCACAGATAGGCCATTTTCTCCTCCTGGTGGATGATGTTCAAGTAATAATTCTGTCTTTGTGACATTAATCTGTAGTCATGAAAATGACTGATAATACAAATTCAACATTATGACTTCAATGCAAGATCAGAAAGGATAAGACAATAGACTATGACGGAGGAAGCCTTTATTTAAATACAAATAGTCAGCAACTGTTTTAAACTGCAGAATCAGTGAGAGGACCATAAGTATTCCTTTTCCTTGCTAGATCTGTGATAAAATTTTCCCGACTTCTAAAATGCATATTTCTGTAAATCAAGGAAGAAGAATGCTTTGCATGCAAGTTCTATAACAAAAATCTAAATGAAAAATAGCTTTTATATCTTATCCCCAATATGTTTGAAATTTATCTCTAGTCTCAAAGTCCTCATTTAAGGAAATGTGATGATACAGAAGTAGGAATTACAAATGGGTTGCTATTTCATTAGAAGGAAAGAGGTGAAAGACTTCAATAGGAATTTTCAGTCTTCTCTGATGTCATGGAATTACATTAAATAGATGTAATTTAGGGTGAAGAGAGGGAAAATGGGTGGCTGAGGACATTCAGAGCATATTTAATAAAGGGTGGGATATACAAACCAGATGAAGACCACTCAAAATAACTGCTGGAAGCATTCTTTTGGCCATCCAAAAGATCAAGTACTAGAGATTAGGAGATTTTTTTTTTTTTGTTATTAAAACAATTCACATGAACAACTGGCAGGATTGGCAGCCCAGAGCCAAATTCCTTCTATGAGTCACAAGTGTGAAGGCTTTTCCATGCTTTTCCACCAATGGGCCTTGATCTTGGCCCACTGGATCCACAACCAAGGAAGAGAAAAGAGAAGTGTCTTAATTTCCTTTCGTCCTTTGCCTTTTTAATGAGAACAATGAAAAGGCTGCCAGATAGTGAGCAATAACTGTTATGATTTTAATATAATATATGATCAGCTGTCCACTAGAAATTAACTATTTCACATATGCTATTGGATGGTAACAACTACAAACCAGATCTGTATTCAAACAGACCTACAAACAAATCATTCCCTCTCTTTCAACATCTTCTCAACCCCTAACATCTCTCCCAAAGAACACCTAGGCCGTATGGAAGCTTTCTGATTTCTCACCAGAGAGCAAATCAATCTCTTTCTGCACGGAAACTTTCTCTGACATTAACAACATAGTAAAACAATATTAATGAAAAGTTACCACACTACTGTCAAAATTAACCCCAATATCTTGGATAGCTCTGCATCACATCTGATAAATACAGGGCCTTTAACTTCTATGCTGCTGCCTCAAATCCAGCCCAATTCAGTAGTGAATAGAACACGAAGACGCTTGTGCTTCCCTTATTCTATCTTTTGCAAATATTCTTTTTAAGTTTCCAAGAATGTGCAGTACCATTCATGAGCACTAAGTAATTTTTTTAAAATAGAGTTCCTAATAGAATAGATCACAGAAAACAACCTAGCTTGTGAAATTACTGAAAACTTAAATACACTTTTATGTTGGAGTCACCACCAGATCCGCACTGATACCTGGCCAAAAAAAAACCCCCCACAGCACAGTGGGTCACCCTCATCACATGCCAAACAGCTAATGACATTGTTTTGGGTGTGCTTGTCAGACTGGCTGGCTGCTCTCATTTACTAAGACTTTTCAGACCACAGCAGAAAGTTGAGGCTTGATAAAAGAGGAGGCTGAGACTGTGACTAACAGCAGCATAAAAGACCTACAGGACTACAGGTCGTGTAGTTAAAAAAAAAAAATACTTCCTGACAGCTCATCGCTGGATTTCATACTTTACATACCTCTGTTAATCACAACCTAGGTCAGCTTTGTTTTCTTACTGTCTCAATAAACGATCTGTAGGGCTTTACAACGCGACAAAATGCAAGATGCGGCGCAGGGGAAACGCCACAGGTGCCCCCACGGCTGGCTGCGCAGAGGGAGCAGGGAGGGAGGGAGGAGCCACGCTCCCCCGACTTGGGCTGGAAGTTCAAAGCCAGACTCGCCGGCTGGCTCCTTGCAGCAGCGGAGCTTTCCGCCAGGTCCTTTCCAACCAGATGGTAGACTGCAGGCACCGCCAATCGCATCACACCCCACGGGGCACGGCCAGGGCCGATCCAGCTCCCAGAGCAGGGGCTGGACAGGGCACAACTCTGCCCGCTCCCCCGCTGGAGCCCAGGCTCGCCACCTTCTCCCCGCGACCCGGCCCCATCGCGTGCCCGCGGCCTGCCTCCCTCCCTCCCTCCCTTCCCCCCGGCGCGGCCCTTACACGGTGACATGGCCAGAGCCGCGCACCACCACCGGGTCGGGCGAGTATTTCAGCAGCTGCTCCTCCAGCGCCCGCTCCTCGTCCTCCTCCTCCTCGTAGATCTCGTCGAAATCCGCCATAGCCGGGCCGCGCTGCGTGTCTGGATAAAGGGCGGGCAGGCGGCCGCGGTCCACCGGCGAGGCTGAGCCGGCGTCGCTGCAGCTCAGGGGCAGGAAGCGCCCGTCGTTATCCGGGGAGGGGGAGAAACAACAACATCCGGGCCGGGCCGGGCCGCGGCGCCAGCGCTCGCTCCGCCCCAGCCGAGGGAACCACAGCAACAGCGCCGCCGCCGCCGCAACCTCGCGAGAGCTTCCTGCGCGCGGCCCCGGCTCTCCTGGGGGCTGCGAGCGCGCGGCTGGGGGCGGCGGTTAGGAACGAGGCGGGAGGGCGGAGGCAGGGAGCGGGGGAGGGGCTGGGTGGAGACGGGGGAAAGCGGGCGGGCGTTTCTCCTGGCTGGGCTAGTTCGGGAAGGGTCAGGGGCCACAGGTGTGGGGAGGGGGCACTAGGGCGGGGGCGGTAATTAGGGCAGCGGGGCAAATGTTGCCTTTGCCCAGTGGTGGGTTTGGGGACCGCTCAGGAGCGTTGGCACTCTGGCCACGCCCCCGGCTGCTCCATCCTCCTCCTCTTCCCCCTGAGGCCCCGCCCCCAGCCAGGTTGGAAGGTGATGGAGCCTGTGGTAGAGTGGGTAGATTTGCCTCTCCTCCTCTCCCCCTCCGCCCCCATCCTCCCGTTTGGAGCTGGAACAAGCCCCCTCTCCCGTCCCCTGCTACCCCCTGGAGCTGGCCTGAGCCACTCTCCCAAGCCCCCTTGCACCCCACACAGGGCTGGACTGAGCCCCACCTCTCACCCCTCCCCAACCCCTTTTTGGTAAAACTGGGCATTTGTACCATTTGCCCTTGACAACTGGTGATCAGTTGGCAAGAGCAAATGAGACAAATGCCCAGTTTTGCCAAAAAAGTTGGGACACCTGGAGCCAAAATGGAAGGTATGATTACCCTCAGGCAGGGATCCCCAAACTTTTTTGGTTATGTCCCCACCTTACCTGGTCTGTGCCCCTCTCCCCCTCCCCCCCAGAAGCCAGGAGCTGCTGTGGAGCTGGGAGTGGGGTTGTGGCCAGGAGCAGGGCCAGGAGCAAAACCATGGCTGGGGGTGGGCCAGCGTGGGACTGGGGGCAGAACAGGGCTGGGTCATGCTCCCTCCCCACCTCCTTTGTGGGGGCTGACTCGGGCCCTGCCACACAAACCCCCGAACATTCCTCTGTGCCCCCTAGGGGGCACCCCCCACACTTTGGGGACTACTGCCCTAGGCTGTGGTAAGAGCCACACAGGACCCTGGGCAACTGGGGAGCCTAGGCCCTCCACCTGCCCTGGGCGAGGGACTGGGGAGCCCAAGAGCAGCCCATGTCCCTGCCCTGCAGGGTGTCCCACCCGGGGCAGGTGGATGGTCTAGGGCCTCCTCTTAATCCACCTCTGGAGGTGGGGTGCAGTGCTGAGGGAAGGTGGGGGGAATCCTGTCCACCCTGCTGTGCCCTGATTTCCCATCCCAAGCCCCTCGCTCCACAGAGCATTCCCCTGCTGCCCTGCTCTGCCCTGGTTTGAGGAAGGTGCAATTATGGGGTTCCCAAGTGGGGGTGACAGTTGGAGGTTGACTCATGCCCCAAACCATGAAGGTTCATAGCCATTTAGATATTCCCTCCACCAGGCTCTCAGAAACATACAGATTCTTGGCACTGCACCAAGATGAATAGGTAAAATTGTCACTCATCTCCAACATGCCAGGTCCCCACATGATGCAGGAGAATGGAGTATGCTTTGAAGATGCATCTGAGGATGTCATTACATCAGTAAGCCTAAGAAAATAAAAAATCCAAGAGAAACCCCTGCCATTCCTTTCTCTCACTAATTACATCAGGAACATTTAACAGAAATGTGTCTTTTCAAACAACGGCGAGTTCTATGGGCCTGTGGTGCCTGGGCACCAGGAATATTCCTGGCCCGGGGCCCAGCTCCAGCAATATTTGAGGCTAGGTCTCTCCCTCGGCCCCACCTTCCACACTTCCACTCCCACATCCCCCAGGAAATTTAAAACAGCCCGGGGCCCCCACTCATCACCAGCAGCGCAGTGGAGCTGAGCGGCTTCCTGCCTGCTCACTCCACGTGACTGCTGGCCCTTCCCTGTGGCCCCTGGGTGGGGTGGGTCTGTGTCTGTCTACGCATGCTGCTCCCGCCCCAAGCACCCCTATGGCTAATAGGAAGCTGCGGGGACAGTGACTGGGGGTAGCAGCACGCAGAGGCCCCCCGGCCTGCCCAGGTAAGCACCACAACTCCTCCACCCCCTCCCAGAGCCTGCACCCCCACCTCCTTCCCACACACCACCTCCCATCCCCACACTCCCTCCCAAATCCTGCACCCCCACCCCCAGTCCAGAGCCTGCACCGAAACTGCCTCCCAGAGCCTGCACCCCTCAGCCCCTCCTGCACCCCCACCCTCTGCCCCAGCCTGGAGCCTGCACCCAGCACCTAAATTACTTCCCAGAGCCTGCACCCCCACCCCTTTCCCACATAACCCCTCCTGCCCCCAAACTCCCTCCCAGAGCCTGCACCTCCGCACTCCCTCCTAGAGCCTACATCCAAACTACCCCTCCACAGCCTGCACCCCTCACGCCCTCCTGCACCCCCTGCCCCAGTCTAGAGCCTGCACCCCAGACTTCCCCCCTGACCCAAACTCCCTCCCAGAGCCCAACCTCTCACCCCTTCTGCATCCAAACTCCCTCCCAGAGTCTGCACCCCTCCTGCACCCCAATCCCCTGCCCCAGCCCAGGGCCTGCACCCCAGACCTCCTCGCCCACCCAAACTCCCTCCCAGAGCTTTAGGCAGGTGGGAGGTGAAGTTTGGAGGAGCAGGCTCTGGAAGTTCTGGGCACCACCAAAATTTCTACAAACCTGCCGCCCCTGACAAAGCCTGTTGCAATATGCAAATGACTTGTATGACTGGTCAGACACCAACAGTGTCAGAAGTGACAGACAGTAAAAGAAAAAAAATCTTACTGCCGCTGTATATGCTTACAGAACCCATAATATGGATCATCATTACTTAAGCAGGAGAGCTAACAGAAAGCAGAAACAAGCAAAGGTGGTAAAAGAAGTTGCTTTGCTACAAAAGATACTGACAATAAATCAATACTTCAAGGAGAGAGAGAAAGGAGAAACAGCGGACAAAGATGACAAGGTTGGTTCAGAAGACACTCTTGTTGGCAGTGGAGGCCTTGGCCTTCAGGAGGAAAGTACAGATTGGGATCTACGGGAAGCAGGCAAGCTGGTACTGAGTTATGATGATCAGACAAATGCCATACAAGCAAATAAATTTAGCCTTGATCCTGCATTGTGGAGTAACATTGATGAAAGTTTTAGGAGGTTTTGGATTGCTATGGATTCAGTTGCTTGTTAAAGTAAAAACATTAAAAAAGTATCTGCTTCTGCTCAGGTGGTTCGAGGGAAGACGCGTTTGCTGCCTGAAGATCTCTTCTCGGCTGCACAAAGGTGAATCTGTTACAGAACACGGGCTTATTTATTCACCATCTTCTGGAAATGTTTACTGCTTTGCCTGCAAACGTCTTTCAACCAAAACCCATGCCTTTATTGAAGGATTCAGTGATTGGAAACACCCTGAATGTCTTTCTGAACATGAGAAAAGCTTGGACCACTGAAATTGTATGCTGGCATGGATACGGCATGCAAAGGCAACAGGTAGAGTTGATCCAGGCCTCGCTCAGCAGTTTCAGACAGAGAGTCAGTACTGGAGAGATGTCTTTAAGTATGTTGTATCAGTTATTAAGTTCTTAAGTGAGTGCGGACCCACTTTCCGTGGCCACGATGAGCTGTTAGGTTCACCACATTATGGTAATTATTTGGGGATTTTGGTGCTAATTGCTCAATTTGATCCATTTTTGGCAGGTCATATCGCTAAATTGGGACAGAAGAGTAAAGGCAGTACCTCTTATCTGTCATTGACTACTTGTGAAGAATGCATTGATTTGATGGGCCAGAAAGTTAAAACAAAATAGTTGCAGCACTTCAACAAGCCAAATATTTTTCAGTTATTGTGGATTCAACACAGTTGATGTTGCATGTTGATCAGCTCACTTTTGTATGCAGATTTGTCAAGTCAGAGGGACAAATTGTAGAATGATTCATTGGATTTGAGCTGCTAGAGACTTATACAGGTGCAAGCCTCGCTGACTGTGTACTTGCAATGACAAACAGCTTGTGTTTGGACAAATCTAATTGCCGTGGACAAACATGACAATGTCAGCAATATGTTGGGATGATATAATGGTCTGCAGGCACATCTAAATCGACTAAACCCTCTTATTGTCTACATTTTGTGTGCTGCTCATTCTTTAAATTTAGTGGGAGTCAACAGTATTAACAACCGTTGTTCAAATGCAGTTAATTTTTTCTGGTTTCTGCAGTTACTTTGTTTTCTGTTCAGCCTCTATATATCAATGGAAACAGGTTTTCCATGATGTTAGGAGCCACTCATTCTTGACAGTCAAAAGTCTGTCTGACACATGATGAAGCAGTTGGGCAGATTCTACAAGGGCCCTGTATCAGAACTATAATACAATTCAACATGCCCTAGAAAGCATGTCAAAAGATGTGAACTAGTAACTTGACACCCAACTGGAAGCAGCTTCCCTTCAGAGCAAAATGGAACATCTGGAAACTGTCTTTATGGCACAATTTTGGGACATCATTCTTCAACAGTTTAAAATGACCAGCTTGCAGTTACAGAAAAGTGACATCGACCTGAATACAACAGTTCACTTACTGCAATTACTACAATCATTTGTGGCTTCTCTATGAGATTAATTCGAAATTTTTGAAAATGCTGCTACAAACACATGCAAGACTCTTTCATAGAATTATCAAACTGATCTGAGTTGTTACTGAAAACAAAAACAGTTAGCAGATGAATTGGGAGGACCTGAGGTTTTACTTGAGGGAAGTCAAAAGTTTCACACAGAGACTTTTTATGTAGCTTGTCTTCATCACCGACAAGATGCCTGTAAGTTGTTGAATGACAACTTTGGAGTACTATTTGAAAACAACTTGCTGGACATTTCTAACATTCACAGGCATGCTGCAGTTTACCCGAATGACTTGGAACAAAATTTTCCTGATGGACTCATACAATTCAAATTCTTTGTATAGGATGAGCCTGACAAATCTCCAGCCCATTTGCTGCAAATTTTAAAGCAAAGCGGCCTTCAGTCAACATTCCCTAATACGTATCTTTCTCTCAGAAGTTTCTTACCC